AATATTAGCATCATTTATTTTCTTAAAAAATTAACTTATGTACAAATAATTAGTTAATTGGTTCAATAAAAAAAAATAAGCTTTCAAATAACATACAATAAGATCTAACAAAATTGTGTCGATACTATTTCATTTAGTTATTTTCTCAAGATAATAATTTTTCTATCATACTTTCATTTTTCAAGATTGCCTAAAATTTTTGCGATAAAAGCTCTTACAATTTGCGTCCCGATGTTTTTTTTTTTTTTTTTTGAGTGGACTAGGGGGTAGCTTTAAGTGGATTAGGATAGTTCTGAAAAAGATTTGACAGGAAAGGGAAAATATTTAATTTAACAGTGAAAGGTTAAAAATAACCCTTCCTCTTTTTCAATCCTTTCCTTTTTTTTTTACATTTAAAAAATAAAAAAGCTATCCTAATTTTGGAGCACCAAAGCATTGTGGTTCTATCAACACGATTAGATGCATCTCCTTAAAGTACACATGCTTTACTTGATGCCTCTGGACAAATATACTATTAGACTTTTTTGGGGGAGGATATATACTAATGTCAACCATAAAAAAATCTGATTTACCCATAATAAAAATATCCCTCCCCTTTCTCCCATAAAAATGAACATCAAATAGCTTGCATTTCTCCGTTTAAATATAGAACCCTGTCCTTGTTTAGGCTCACGTATCTCATGAATGGGCATGCAACTAAGGTCCAAGGATTGGTAGCATCATCCTGCACACGCATCATAATTCCTTAATAAAGAGGATAGACTATAACCAACATGGTACTAGGAAGTAATTGCAGACTGAAAACAAAGAAGGTAAATTTCACAAAGCTCATCAATTTTTGGGGTGTTTTGCACAAACACTCCTTAACCTAGAAAATTAGAGAAAAGAACTTAGAAAATTAGATTAAATTGCATGTGACATGTTTTAGATAGTTTTCCTTTTATGCACTTCTAGATTTTGCTATAAGGGAGTTTTTTTGGGGATATGCTAGGTAAATAGTAATAAGGATATTTTAGACTTTTTATCTTTCTCAGGGTGGTTCTGTTTAATTTCGCAAAGTTGTTTTTTTTCAGCGCGGCGTGGCGGGGCGGCGGGGGGGGGGCGCAAAAAACACCCTAAATTGAAGCCGCTTTGTGAAATTTACCCGAAATAAAGAAACTGTTTTACCTGCAGATGAGCTCTAGAGCTTTGATTTAGGAACTTCTTTGCTCGGCTTCAACTTCCTTGTAAGAGACTCTTGAGTCAATGATACAACAAGCTGTACATAAAACAGATAAAATGACCTAAGCCTTTTTAGCACTAAACGGGCAGTTAATAACTTGGAAACAAAATTACCTCTCCTTTCCTGTTAAACATCCGGCCATAAGAGAATCCGCGGCCTCCATAGGCAATAGGGCTCTCTATCTACAAAAACATGAAACTTCAACATGAATATGACCATGTCCAATTGTTTTGAATAAATCGGAAATAGGTCCGAGATAATTACCACATATAGCAACCAGTCGTCAGCTCTGAAAGGCCTATGGAACCACATCCTAAGGAAGAGAGAACAAACAGGATGTTAAGAGTCGTTATCATCTCTTGTTGATGATTCCTTCATCACATAAATATCAAATGTGATGCACTACCAAAAAATTGTCTATAATAGATCCTCAGTTACCTGTGCGGTTGTGTCAAGTTTGCAAATGTGAATGCTCAAGGAAGAAATGAACAAAGTGAATATACTAAACGAGTGACCTCACGTGAATTTGAAAAACAGAAATAGGTTTAGATCCTCCTTTCCAAAAGGCAAAAGCATGCACAAAGGACATGGATCTTCTGCTCAAAAGTAACTCGGACAGATTTCATAAAGAAACTAAATTCACTAAGAGGTTTTATAAGAAAGGTCTTCTGCCCTACTTGAAATAGCAGAAAATGCAGGTTGATGGTAGTCTGAAGAGCATAATCAGGTTTAGTTGTGAACCTTACCATCTTAGCACTATTTTTCAAGAGAATAAAAACCAAAGCTTAGTCTACAGTAAGGAGATTAAGTTCATTGATACATACGCATGATCCAAACTAAACGTTGTTGTCTTCTGATCCTTCTTGCGGTGAGGATAATTGCTAACACCAGCAAATATAAAATCTGAAGCATATGCTATGACGCATCTGAGATATAAGGTGCATTATATGCACTAATTAGAGGACGTAATAAAGTTGGGGGAAAAAACTCTGCAATGATCAGAACTAAGACAATTAAAGATCAGTTCATCTTAAATTAGCAAAATAGAAGTTTATCAGCAACAGGATAACTCATATGGCACGCTCCACATCATTTTCACAAGTAAAAGAATACGCCCCATGTTTCAGTACTTAGTTTGTGTGTATTTATAAGTCAAAATAGTTATTGTAGTTTGTGTGTATTTATAAGTCAAAATAGTTATTGTACTGTTTAATAGATTTAACTACTGAATCTGCAGCTGATTAGTGCATTGACTTCAATCTTTATCATATTTAAAGCGCAACATGCGAGTTAGATCTCTAGAGTTTAAAGGATTTAAAAGTAGTAGAACCCAAAAAAAGGAAAAAGAAAAAAAGGAATACATGGAAAATCATTTAAAACTACGAAAATGAAAAAAAAAACATTGATAATTGATAAATACCGAAAGTAATCAGTTCTCTATTGGTATCAATCATTCATCAAAACACTGAGACTAAGGATAATTGGTTTATCAACTTGTTAAAGCATAAAATTATATCCTCCACCCTCATCATAATGTCAAGTTTTGATGTAGTGGCAGGGTGTCCTTCAACACCACTCAAAATCAAGTGCTTCCTAAGTCCTATGTGATCATAGAATACTCGTGAGGTTGAAGAAAAACTCTATAGGATATAACTACTAGTAATGCTTTATGAATTATGATGTTTTACTATTAAAAAACATGGGCAAAATATGAGTGTAGTAGAAATGAGAATGTTACAATGAGCATGTGGATTTTCACTAAGAGATAGGGAAGGATGCATGCGTTCCAACAAATGTCAATTGTCAGGTGTTGGTGCTATTGAGAATAGAAAAGAGAATCAATTGAGATGGTTTGATCATGTTTAAAAGAGAAATACACAAATTAGGAGAAGTTATAAGGTTACAATTAATGAAGCAAGGAGGATTAGCTGTAGGCCGCAGCAAACTTGGTTGGAAGCAGTTAAGAAGGATATGCTAGTGGTTAACTTAATGGAGGAGATTCCCTTAACAACATTGAATGAAAGAATAGGATCCATATGTTGATTGTAAAAGTTTGGGACGAAGGTTATATTGTTAACAAATACTATTAGTACCTTTAAGATGACAACAACAACAACAACAACAACAATGACAATGACAATAATATCACCACCACCACAATAACCACCACTACATCAAAGTTTGCCTTGACTGGATCTTGAGGAGCTATCCCATGTTACCTTCCTTACAATTCCCTGAATCTTTGTAGCCATACTATCTTAGCAGGTTCAACATCAGCAAAACTTCTTCATATAAAGGAGGCGTCTGGATCAAACAAATAGTAATATCATGCATATTGATCATATCTAAAGGCCAGTGCATTTCATCATTACTGCTGACAAAGAACCACCTAATCAAGTCAACTCATTTGTGAACAAAATAACAGCATCACAGGTGGTACTCCATAATTTGATATTTCTAGGGCAAGGGAAAAAAAAACTAAATATGTGGAAAAAAGGAGCTACAACCATAGTGGTTACTTTTCATGAGAACATAACAGTGATGATAAACAAAAAAGGATTCAAGGAAATAGTTTAAATGAGAAGACAGCAAAAAGGCCTAAAAAGGAGGATATTCAAATTAACAAAAACTCAGGGTTATATGCTGTAATTAGTAACACATTGATTCAAGCATATAATCAACACAATGTACAGATTGAAAAATGAAAAGCCAAACTGCAATGCATCATGATAAGGTCGCTTACCTATGCAAAGCTAGGTCATCAGAAAGCTTTCCTCTTGCTTTAAACCAATAATTCATACTGAAATGAAAGGCCAATTTTAACAAACGGTAAGATGAATTTTCAAGAATTATTTCATAATAAATATTAATTAAGAAATTTAAAAGGAAAAACAAAAGGCCAGTTTGGATCTAACCGTGGTGGAAGAGGACTTGAAGGATAGAGTTCGCAAAATCGTATCTCTATGGGCCAGGGAACAAATACTTCCTTAGTAACCATATTCTGGTAAGATCTAAATAATAATTAGGTGTTAGAACTCTTTCCTCAAAATTGATGAAAAAACGATAGCCCAGTAGGAGAATTCAAGATGGTATTTACAACATAAGGGTATTTCATAAAAGCATAAAACTGTGTCTTGAGGAAGAGTTTATCAAACAGGCAGAATACAAACCTGAACTGAATTCTTGACTAATCATGTAGAAATTTTATTCAATTCAGTGGTACAGTAAATTTTACCTCTCATAATAGGAATGAGAAACTGCAGCCACGTGTGAAACATAGGAAAAGGCAGATTTCAGAATGTCTCTATAAGTAACAGCTGCCATACTTCTTAAAAAACAAAATTGTAGAAGCCAATAGAAGGCAACCTAATTTCAAAATGCACGAAAAAAAGAAAGATAATGATGATGAAAACTAGTCACAATGTCATGTCCATGTATTTGTTGCAAGAGGATAGACATAATTGGGATATTTACCAACACTAAATACACATAAGAAAAATAAAGCTTGCCTAGATGAGTGAAATTAATGTAACTAACTGATTGTAATACATTAAGGTTTTATAAGGAATCCTTTACAAGGTTGTTTTCATAGACTTTACAACCAAGGTGTTAAATATCAGATACCAGAGAAATATGCTAACATCGGATTGCGGATATCGGATAAATATCGGGAATATGTAGTAGTAAATATCGGAGTGGCATTTCGGATGATGTTCATATCTACTATAATGTCTTAAATGTAATCTAAACATACTTAATGAAATATAAGGCTACAAAAATAAAAATAATATACGTTCAGGATCACTTAGGGAAAATAGCCTATTAGAAATTTTCTAAAAACTTCATGGTGCTGGAATTTTTGCTAAACAAAAAATTTTCAGAACTATATTGCTTTGTGACAAGCCATAGAAAAGGATATCGGCAAGCATATCCGCTGATATATCATCAATGTAGGGGACATATCACCCAAAAATTGCCCAAAAAGGATAAAGGTTATTGAGACCATATCATTTTGTAGTAAGCCTTATAAAATGATATATTGATTGACATATCGCCTACATCAGAGATATTTAAAACAATTGTTACACCTAAATGGTAAAACAAAAGGCTAGAGATCCTTGCATACCAATTAACACTCAAGGCTACATCTCCCCTCATAGACAAAGATGTTCTTGCAAAAGTTACACCATGTGAAATTGCTATTGGGTTAAGTATTATTTCTAAATTAGTGCCAAATTATGACGGATCATACGAATAAGAAACCATCACAAATTGATGAAAGTGTCGAACACTAGTCACTCAATATCTGCGGCTTAAGTGTAAAGTGGCTAGTTGATGGCCATTAAACAGATACTCTTTAAAATAGGTCTTTTACCAATACACCCAGAACTCTATCTTATTTGCATATTTAGCCCCCAATTCTGAATATTTGCAAATTTCCCCCTACATTTTTTGACATTGAGCAAAAATACCCCTCTCATTTAACACCGTTAAATTTCAAAGTGAGAAGACGTGAAATGACAAAAAGACCCCTACCTAAAAAAAATTGTTTTTTTCTTATATACACCCAATTCTACCCTATCTGCAGATTTAACCCCCAAATATGCATACTTGCTAAGTTACCCTACAAATTTTAACGGCATTAGATGAAAGGGGTATAATAGAATGTAGGGGAAATTTAGCAATATGCAGATTTGGGGAGAATTTGCAAATAGGACAGATTAGGGGGGGTATAAAAGCAAAAGAAACAAAGATTTTTCTGAAACATACGACAAATTCATTGCATGGAGAGGAGAAACAACAAAGTACAGACGCTAAAACAATAGCTTTCCAAATTGTAACGAAAATTACGGTGGAAGGCGAAGATCCCTGATGCGTCTCTCTCGTAGCTCTTCCATTGATGGTAGCTACACAGAAATTATATGTGTTAAAAAGTAATAGATTCAAACTTTTACAAAGAAATGAGGACATACTTACTGCTTCTGGAGCTGGCACCTTAGGCATGAAAGCTTCTTGATGTTCAAAGCCTACTTCTTCTTTCTGCAGCAAACAAATTTGATGCAAAAATTATGTACAAATTGGATTTTTGTGATTGCTAATTATCGCCCTAATTTGAACATTTTAGAGCTTTTGCTAAGTTAATTGTAGTAGCTGAAGAATAAGGTGAAGATAATGGTACTGGGCTACTAAGGTTTTTTTAAAATAGTTCCACCTGGGGTTGAAGAATCAGTCTGCTCTAGATAATATATTGATTGGATTTCCTGCTCTAGATAATATATTGATTGGATTTCTTCTTTCTATGCTTAGGGCTCCTTAACTTAAGCAAAAAAAGTAGCCACAGAAACTGCTTCTCTTTTTGAAAACTTCAATACTGTGTGTTGGTTTCTTCCAGCTGATATCAACTCAACCTAATAAAAAGGGTTAATTGCACATAGACCCGGTGGATGCATCAAAGTCATCATGTAAGGTTATCAAGAGATTGTTCTCCATAACTTATGAATGCAAAATCAAATGATTAAGTGGTCTTAAGTACTTGACTAGTTGAACTAATTGGAAGATAATAAGTATGGAGTATACAATTTGAAAAAGATTCAAAGTCACAAATTAGATGGACTTCAATGTAAGGCAAAGCAAGATGTGAAAGGTTTCTCAGAAACAAACTCCTGGATACAGGTTCTCTTAGATTCACATTTGATACACCTTCTAAGTGATTGATAGTCAGAAAATATTCACAAGCATATTCAACAATTTTAAGATTTCACAAGAACCTGAAATGAAGCAACTAAACTGAAAATGACAATGCCGTGTTGTTTTGCATCAACTCGTCTGGTGGCAAAGCTTTTACCATCACGTGCACGATAAACTTGATATATAATTGGAACTGGCAAAATGAAATAGACAAGACACATGAGTACGTAAAAATGTGATTAAAGTCCGAAGGATTCTAATGATTGACATGAACAAAGAAAATCAGCTTACCAGCCAATGCGAGAGTACCATGTCAATGTTTGACTGCCTCTCAGTTTAAGATACAAAAGGATCACTATTTTTCAAGAAAACTAGTTGTTTTATGCCAAACATTTATGTGCCTAGTTGTTCGCAAATAGCTGTTATCCCACTTTATAAAATTTATACATGTTACAAAGTTATCATGAATACACCATTGTCCTTTTTATTGAAAAGTCTCCCAAGGAGTAGGTTATATATCATATGCTGAAGTGGCACAAATGACACTAGCAGCAGCCAGTAGAAACAGCGGCAAGCAGCAACAGGAAAACAGCAGAGCAGCAGCAGCAGTCGGATCATACGGTCCATTGTCAATGACCCTTGGGCAGTTGGATCGGCCGGTCTACCAACAGTGAGTTTTGTGTGATCTGACTGCCTCTCGGACTGCGCGGGCTTTTTCTGCACAGTCAAAATCCTATTCTAATTGGGATCTTATGGTCTTCTTGGGGCCCACAAATTCTACCCCATTTATAGGATATTTCCTCAAGCCTTCAAGATCAAGAAGATGATGAAAAAAATAAGATAAAGAAAAGGAGATTACTCTTGTGAGGATTGACAAGAGAAAGGTTACTATTCTTATGAGGATTTACAAGAAACTGGAGAGACTACTCTTGTGAGGTATCAACGAGAGAAAAATATTGTATACGAAAAGGAGATTACTCTTGTGAGGATTGACAAGAGAAAGATTTTTATTCTTATAAGGATTCAAAAGAAACTGGAGAGACTACTCTTGTGAGGATCAACGAGAGAAAAACATTGATACTCTTCTTCAAGTTAATAAAGAAATCCTTATCCCAAAAAAATGAAGTTAGTAAAGAAATCTCTCCCTCCTCTGGTGGATGTTTGTTTGTTATTAATCTCTTGCCATAAAGTTATTATGCAAAACCCTAAATTTATTGTTTAGGATCTAAAGTAAAACCCTTACAATCGGTGTCATATTGATATCAGTTGAGAGGCTAGCTCTCCAATAATTGGTATCAGAGGGATTTGGTTTAAAATCACATGCTCCTAGCTTATTGAAATATACTCTACTTAACTTCCCTGCGCCCCCCCCAAACACACAACACACAACACAAGGCCCCGTTATAGTTTTGTAAGAAAATCCATAAAATGCTCAATTGATTTCACATGTGATATATAAGTCACTTCTTCCAAAACCTTCTCTGATGGAAATCAATTTCAATATGCTTTGTCCTCATAAAATAATGGATTATTAGCTATACAGAAGGAAATCTGATTAGCACATTGCAAGACAACAGATGTTGATCTCCAACTCCAACTTCTTGCAACAAATACTTCAGCTACATCAGCTCATATGTACCTCATATGTACCATCCATAATAGCTCAATGTTCAAACTCAACACTTGGTTTACCTGCCCGTAATCCACCCAGTGCTCTGAGTTGACCTAGCACAACATCTCTCCACTTATTGTTTAAAAGATATTGTTGATCTTGGTGTAAGCTCCACTATAAAAGCATGTAAAGAACTTTGCCTTCTTTACACTTGTTGCTTGGGACTAGATGCCTAGCCTATCCTTTCTAGAGAAATGAGGGCCTCTGCTGATAAATCCAAGACTATTCCCAACTGTTGTTGAGTTCCCATAAAACCACACACCCCTGAGACAATATAGAAGGAAGCTCTCCCTGGAAGGCAATGGTCTTAGCTACAACACGGCTACATAAGAAGAAAGAATGTGAACAGATAACTTTCTTATTTCCAGACCAGAGAATATATAAATTTATTATATAGAAATCCTAAACCATCCTAATTTGCTAAGCTATGTAAGAAGCTGGGAATGATTAATATCTATTCTCTAGCTCGGAAATGAGCATTGACCATATTGTACTCATTTTCTGTATATGTTTCAGCAGATATACTAGCAGAAACTACAAGTAGCAAGCCTCAGGCACATGCTTGCTGTCTTCTTCTCTTCAAAACATTTTTTCTCCCGTTTTTAACCTACAAACTTGTTTCTTTCATGTATTATATTCTACAATCTTCGAATAGCATCCTTTGCCTTATTTGGGCCCAGAATATGTATATCATAATATATCCTCTTCTGCTATGCTATTGTGGGTCATTCATCTGTAATTTAATGGCCATAGAAAAACCAGGACATTTGAGATATCATATAACAGTAGCTCGTAGGATGTGATCCAAACTTGAATTCCCAGTAACTATAATCTTAAAATGCAAGGAAATCAAAATGTAGTCATATTAGCATAAACTTAGATGTATACAAAAGGAAATAAGAAATAGGAAAAACTATCCAAGTGAGACAAGAACAATAATAAAAAAAGGCTTAATTAAAGACCTTATAGTTTCAAAGCACTTATATATCTTAAAGGTTTTAAAATTTTCAATTATATACCCTAACTTGTTTATGGCAGCACTTACATACCCTAAAGTTTTTAAAACTTCTACTTATATACCCAAAATATTTTAAAACTTGCATGTAGATACCCTAAAGTTTTTAAAACTTGCATTTGAATACCCTCTAGTGTGCAAAACTAAGGGCATGTAAGTGCAAGTTTTAATAACCTTAGGGTATTTAAGTGCAAGTTTTAAAAAGTTTACAGTATAAAAGTGTTTTCAAAACAAATGAGAGTATATAAGCCAAAGTTGTAAAAACTTTAGGGTAAATAAGTAATGCCAAAAACAAGTGAAGGTATATACATGCAAAGTAGGGGGACTATAGGGTATTTAAGTGCAGTTAAGACTTAAAAAAATGGAAATCACTTTTATTTTGAGCGCACATTTTGGGGAAAAAATTACATACCTTGGACGTATGCAGGATTTGCCTATCAAGCATGAGACAAGAAATCTTACAGCAAACAAAATACTAAAGGAATATGAAGAACAGAACCAAATGTCGATGGAGATATCCCTAGAAAAGGTTTGCTTACATTTGTTATCTCCAGCCAAAAGAAAAGAAACATGCACACTATGCACCAATTTCAGACAATCCACAGTCTTCGATGCTGCTGCCAGTGCCTACAAAACCAGATCATGTAAAAAAGGTTTATTAGAACATGCAAGAACATGAAAAAATAAATGAACATATTGCAAGATTAAGACTTGGTATAATGCAGATACAAAAAGTTTATTTTCTTCCCAAGATACAGCAGCTGCTATATTTCCTCTCAAACCGTGAGGCTCATGAGTGCACAACATCACAAACTTATATCAGACATACCCAGCGCATAACACGATATATGCATAAGTTTCAGGGTTAAATATCAGCATTATGCATAGTTACAAATAGTTCGAGAACTAATGTAAAGAAAAGGCAGCTGCATTTTTTCTCTTGGAACTTTGAGGCTTGTCAGCATAGTACCATAAAGTTGAATCAGAAATTCACAAAGAATCAAAAGATATATTCATAAGTTGAAGAGTTTAAAGAATAAGCTTTTATGCTTCGGTACAGATAACCAACAAATTTGTCAGGTACAGCAGCAAGCCACTTTCCCCAGGAACTGAGCTCATGAACATCGAAGCACAATCTCATGTCACTTCACTGAGGTGTGCATACTTCCCTGTGATTAGGTACAGCATCAATCCCACACTAACACTTCAACAGGAAATGAAAGATTCTAAAATTGGCATCCATAGACTCTAGAGGTGGCTCTACAAAACCGAAAGATAGTCCCCACCTTATTTTTTATGTGATGACACTTCGTCCAGTAGTACTTAGCTCCGTGAGGCACTTTGATTTGCACAATTTCTGCGAGTATTTGCCTTTGATATCATTTGTGTGCCCTCAGAAAAACTATGAATGTCAGTCATAATAAAATCGCACCAGCTTCAATATGCTTAAAATAAAAAACTTTCCATGATTCCTTCCTAATAAATGTTAACTATATAAGATTAGCATAGTTATTAAAAATTATTATGCTCCAGAGACCATTCTAGTCAGTCATATCTCATGTGGGACTATTCATTTACCTTGGACGTGAAAGTTGTTCATAGATACAAGTACTTCACAAGTTATTGACAAGATACAACAGTTGTCATCTTTCTTAGAATTATAAGGCTACTGAGAATAGCACCAGCGCATTCTGCTTACAGTTGAACATTCATTCAGAAAATCATTATTGCTGAAGTTGCTGTTGTATGACCCACCAAGCATAATGATCCAAGATCTGAGACTCATGAATGATCCAAGGTTTGGGACCAACATGTTGACCCTATAGTTTTGATGATGATTTAGCAAACAATTCATTACTAATAATCTCTCTAGTGTTTTTGTGTTTCTAGTTTCTTTTCAGGTATTTCAAGTTCACAAGTCAATCTAGCGTTAAAGATTCAAGTTCTTTTTGTGTGGTTCTACCTAGGTATATGTTTAGTTTACCTACATATATTGTATGATTGTATTCAAGCTCAATATATATACACTTAACACGATTTATAACGTTTTCTATCATATAAATGATTTTTCATTAACCGTTGCTAAAATATCTCTATCCCTTTTTTTTTTACAGCTCTTTCATGTTTCACTATATACGTATAATATATGCAAATATATATATGTGAATATTTACATGTCTGAATCAAATTTCACTTTCGTAAATTTACAGGTTTTCTAAGCTGTTTTCAATAACAGGGAGTTTTAGCAAACGAAAAATGTTTTTCCAAAATTTTCTTTTCAAACATGCTTATTTCATAATTTATAAACTTTCCCCAAAGTTTCACTAATTTTGGATATGATCTGATATTTTTAACGATTTTTCAAAACTCCCCAAAAACCTGTCAATTTTCTCATATCAGTTTTCGGTCGACCGATACGGTCGACCGACAGACTGTCTGTTTCTAAGAAAGTTTCCCAAAGTTTTCCGGTCGACCGAAATTTACGTCGGTCGCCCGAAATTTACCTTCGGTCGACCGAAAATTACGTCGGTCGACCGCCAGCTTCAAAACTTGTTTTCTCACGTTTTTTTTTTGAACTAATCGGTCGACCGTACCGGTCGACCGACGAGTTAACAAACTGAGCCTAACGGCTAGTTTTTCAAATGGGTTTTTTCGTCTTTTTCTCACTTCTAGCTGTTGTATTGGGGAGCTATATATACCCAATTGCTGCTCCTCTTCTAAAAAAGCTAAGAAATCCAAGTTTACTGTTTAGCAAAGTTTTAATCGCGTTTAAGGGCTGTTTTAAGAGCTGTTTCGTTAATCCGTTTTCAAGTGAAAGTTCTCTACAACAAGAAGAGGCTCTCATATTCCATTGGGATCATACTCTTCAGCTCCTCTTGTTCATTGAGAAGTTTTTCTAAACTCTTTCCATATAGCTTATTATTTCACTTTCATTTGATTAGCTATATTCATTTAAGTTATTTATTGAATTTGATTCACTATTATCACACATTTATTGAGCTTGATATTTTTCATATTATATATTGTGGGTTTGTGGAGTGTGATTTAGTGAGTGTGAGCTTCATTGTGTTCTCACGTGTCAATTGAGAACAAATTACTGTATTTGACTTTTATTTGTGAGAATCACTTGTAATACACTTGTACACCGAGAGAAGTGTGAGGAGAGAGAGACGGGGTCAAATCCAATAGGAGTGGCGTCGATTGACGAACCTAGGGAGAGGTTGTAATCGAGCACTTGAGGAGTTCTTATTCTCGTTTTCATATCTTATATCGCCTTTGTGTATTGCTCATCATATTACCCTATCACTTGTGTAGATTGTTTATTTTACCCTTGTGTTAGTTCATATATCCTTGCTCATATATTTGTAATATCTCATTGATAGGATATATTCACTTGTTCATATTGCTTATCCTAGCTTACATATCTTGTTGTATTCTATACTTGCTAGGATAACTTATTAATTAGTTTTAATTGGCATTAAATCGGATTAGATTAGCATAAGACCCTAATCACCCCCCCTCTAGGGTCTAACACAACAATGACATCTAAAGTGAGCTAGTCACATCCAGATCTCTATGGAACCTACCAATCATAAATGGAGAAGATAAAATAGAAAAACTTAAACATTAGGGTGGTAAATTTTACAGAGGTATATGGTGGAATCCCAGACAAGATGCAATTGGATCCATAAATATGACAGGCAAAGTTCTCAGATAATAAATCTCTTCATCCAAGCCTAACTTGTACAGATAATGGATGGAGTCCACGTCCCAAATATACACACATATAAATACTGGTCCCTGTCTTGTCAAGTGGTACCAAAAAAGACTAGTTATATAAAGATGAGGGCTTGAAGACATATGTATGTACTACTACACATCAACCATATTAACTGAGTTTTAAGAATGTTGATCCACTCCTGCCCAATACCGTTAGTATGGTCTTTTAATGACAAATAGTAGATATCTTCAACATTTAGTTCGAAACCACCCAAATTCTCTCTTTCCCCCCTTTACCCACCTCCTCCAACCCCCCACCCTGTCACCCCCTTCCAAACCTGAATGTAATTAAAACATCTCCTACCATTATCGAAACATCATAGAAGCATATATGCACACAATAGATTACCTATGGGGGAATCCTCTCCCTCCCAACAGGTAAAAGATTAGACAAACCCGTTTGTAAGATCATTGAAGAACTGGATAAATGAAAGTCCAACATCAATCCTTTTACCTGGGCAACATAGAACAAGTCCCATCATGTATACACATATGGAAATGCATCTATTGAAGTCCAAATTTATGTCTAAATTGCATGATAGAATTCTACAAATCTATAGGGAAAGTTTCCAATGACAATCCAATGATACAAACTTTCATGATAACCTAGTGCGGGACCATCCCATGGATAATACTGCGATCCATCTTAACATGTCCAACTTAGTCTAGAATGAGATCCCAAGACATTTAATACTTCCATCTATAAATTGGTCACGAAAAACAATTAGGCAGTTGTAGGAAAAATTCCAACAAATCCGCAATGCTTCGGAAAACGATTTCATATTCCATGATCTCCCATTCTTGGACAATTTTGGATTTGATAAAGATGAGAGGTGTTGATCATCAAAAGGATGGTGTGCTGTTCTAAATTGTTCTTCATAAATATTTAAGTACATACACACCTAAGAATATCTCTAAATTCAGAGAACAAGTATATCAACACAGGAAGAGGAAATAAAAATAAGTAAGCACTTGTGGAAACATGCCTGTCCAATTAATTGTCCTCCATAAACTGGTTGAAAATTTGGAGAATCTGGCACAGTAAATGCACGAAATAAATTGACCTTCAAAAAATAAAATAAGGATCATAAGCATAATTAACATTAGAATGCTTGTTTAAATGAATGATACACGATGAAGCAGTACCATTCCAAAAACATGGGGAAGAACAATTTGATCAAGTTTTCTCAACATAATCTATCCTTATGGTCACTGATTTCAACTTCAATGCAATTTAACTAAATACATCTGTGTACTTAAATTGTGTGATGATATATTACTAATATACAAAACAGTAAAACACAACATAGGTGCTGGAAGTAGTGTTGAATTGGACCAAGCTGGTTGGTAAGATGGCATTCAATCAGAAATAAAAGATCTCAAGGTTTTTTCATGAAAACTAGAAAGTATTAGGCAGAAAGGATGAAACACAGATTCTGCCTGCATTAACAGAAGCAAACAGGTGTACATGAACTGTCCAATTCAGAAATATCACGAATTTTCTACGTAAAAAATGCTTGTAAAAGGAATCAAACCTTGGCCCATGAAAAAAGAACTATACCTCCTAACCAAAATATTACTTCTTGGCATTTATGATAAGCAAGTGTTTAATATTATAATATATAATTATTATCTCAAGTTTTCTTCATGTATACAACTCTGTTCTACCAACATGAACAATGGTCAGAACCTGGAAAACCAAACAAGCAATCTTCATGGTTTGGTGACAGTTCAGTTTCTTCTTTACTACATCAGCCTACAGTTGTTAAAATGAGAGGCATAAAAAGGTAGTAAAGCTACTTGATTTGTTGAACCATAGCATGTGAGAATATACACTAAACGATCAACTTATGTTAAATGCAGTCGTCCAATATAATCGATTGAAAGTGTAGACCTTGATCTACCAGAGGATTAGGTCTTATAAAGAAATAATGCAAAGGAAGAATCTGTTAGATATTATTGATAATTTGGTATTAATAGATTTGGTACATTTTAGATATTGTTGAAATGTTGTGAGATGTGATTAGATTTGATCTTATCTCACACCTATTTGTAATATCCTCCTAATCTCCATTTAAGAGAGGTGAGGGTTAGATGAATAATGTTATTTTTGCATTTTCTATTTTTTCTACACGGCATCAGAACCTACTCGATCCTAGTAACTTCTCCCATCTTTCTAAATTTTGAGGCTGTTGAGGGGGTTTTGCGTGGCCTTCATGCTCCCCTCGGTGTCTACGACAACATCTTTGATGGCACCAATGACTTCTACAACATCAACAACATTTTCCGCAGCTACAACATCTTCGGCGGATTCGACAATATCTTTGATTTCTACATCATTTGTTTACTAAATCTTTGTTGAACTTCAACAAAAAATGTTACTCTGAGAAACCCTAACATCAAAAGGAAAAATAGTACTGTTCGTCGTATAGTGTTTACCATGAACAATATCGCTCTTGGTCATCTTCTGATGGTTGGATGCAAAAGTATGTAGTTGATTTTGACATTCTTTCTAGACATTCTTTCTATTGGCTGACCCGCCTAGGGTTTCTTCTATTGGCTTACCAGCCTACGATTTTTACTGGCGTACCTATCTAGGGTTCCTATTGCCTAACCTGCCTAGAGTTTTTACTGGTTTACCCGCCAAGAGTTTCTACTGGCTGACCTGTCTAAGACTTCTTCTATTGACTTACCTGTCTAGGATTTTTACTAGCTGTGACCACAATATTCTAATTGATGACATCTTCAAGTATTCTAGACAAACATGACATTATCAAAGCTCTTGCGAATAGCTATATTGTTCCCATTTGTAACAAGCTAGGCATATATAGTATATACGCTCCAACTTGAGAGGGAGTGTTAGAAATTATTGATAATTTGATATTAGTAGGTTTAGTAAATATTGTTGAGATATTGTAAGATGTGATTAAATATGATTTTATCTTATACATATTTTGTAATATTCTCCTAATCTCTATTTAAGAGAGGTTAGCGTTAGATGAATAATGATCTTTTGCCTTTTCTATTTTCTCTATAGAATCCATCAAAAGAAGAGTTTATTTCGAATGCATCTCACCTATAATCAATGATTTTAGGTTTTGTATAATTCAAATTAAAGAACTATAGCATGTGCCCAGAAGCAGTTAACTTGATTTCTTAGATCGGAGCTTAAAGATAATGACCATTTAAGGTGAAACTTACATCTACAATTCTACATATATCATGTGAAATGTCTACAAAAGATCGCATCATCTTCACACTTTCATAAAGAAACAAACTTACTTCTAATGACTCCAAGTGCAATATCTGCTCCACCAGCGCGAAGTCTTTGGGTATTCCCTCCGCATTCCATATTGATTGAGGCTGCAACATATTTCTATGTCCATGCTCCAGCACTATACATGTGAGCTGCCAAATTGGAATAATCAGACAGTGTCTGGATTCACTTCAGAAAATTGCATCCTAAATATATCAAACGTGACTGTTACTGTATCACGAACTAGTAAGCACACACCTTCGATAATGCAATTACATTGACTGGGTGGACAGAACCATCAGTACCTACCAGTAATGAGAACATAGGGTAAAATAGCTTTCTCAAAAAGAATCCAAGAACATAACGAATTTTAATTTACCAGGGGATGGCAACATTCTGTTACTACAAAAACATACCCAAAGCTAGTTTTCGCTTTTGGTAAAAAGGAAAATGATGCATAATGTTATTAAATTTATAACACTGGATGAAAGCAATTGAAATGACACCGCTTAATAGATCACATCAAAAGATTCAAGACTTAAATAAAGTGAATTATCTGGACATTTCCTATTTTCAATTTGCATCACAATAATATTTACAATTGCAGCAAGATGTGGTCAACTTTTTTTCCCCAGTTTTCCAGACTTAACCTCTCACTCCTTGAAGGAATCCTGTATGTCTGAATACTACGGTTCAAGCTCCTACAGAGTTATGCTCATCTCACGGAAACTGCCACAGTGGATGGTTTGGAACATAACTTTGATGGATCAGTATGGTTCAAGGATGACAAGGCGGATCACCTGAAGATACTCTTTACTTTTGCTCAATATACATTATTTTCTGAAAACCCACTAGTTTACGGTTATTGGACAAAGTGTCTTTCTATCATGATATCAGAGCATCAGGTTTCCAAAGGTACTTGGTTCAAACCTCATTGTTAAAATTTAAAACATGTTAAGATGGAGACCTTAGACATGCCAAAGGCTCCCATGAGGTTAAACTAGAGTTCCAAAAATATCACAAAATCTGCAGTTTTGCAAGGTAACAATTTGATGGCATTGAGGCTAAAGAAAACAATGCATAGCCTCATCCTCTTCCAAGTGATATGAGAATCACAAAAAAAAAAAAAAAATGAGACCAGTGGAACGAGCACCAAAACCATGGGCCTACAAGTTCAGTAAACATATCAAATACAGATAAATTTGTCAAACAGAAAAGAGATGCAGAAGAGAAGACCTACACAATTAAGCAGAAATTAAGTGAAAGAAAATAATTAATTAGCTCTCCATAAGAGTAACATGTTAGTGGAAATTTCATAAATAAGCAACAATCCGCATAGGGCATTTATTTTATATACATTTAAGTGGAAAAATAAAATATTAAATATAAAGGTAGTGGACAAGCTTACACAATTGCAATGTCAAATGTGTGTACCTGCGGCGACAAGTATAAATAAGGATAAAGGCCACCAAACAACTAAATCAAACCAAATACAAGGGCAATGCCTTGGAGCCACAGATGGAAATCTTCACTAAAAGGTGTAAAAGGTAAAGCATGAGTATTGTGGAATCATAATGCAGCACCCACCAAAACAAGTACTATCATGGTAACTCTTGCTAGAGCTAACACAACCAAAACGAGAACTGAAGTGGTTAATAATACTTATCAAATGCCTCAAGGAATTCACATTGAATGCACATATACAAGTCATCAGCTTATGTAGTTCTTCAACCATTTTCTTCACTGCTACCACCTGATGAATAATTCTCATAAAATGCTCTATCTTCACCTAACCCTCTAAACTTTCAAGCCAGGTATTTGTAAAAATGTGCTTATTTCACCCACATACTTGTGAAATAGTTTCTTCGCTCATGCGTATTGGACTTCATCTTCTGACATCCTCTTTACTTTATTCTTTCTCCCTAACTTCCCCGGCTACGAAAGGCAAGAACCATATGTTCCCTATACATTCCCTCTATAAATAAGCAACAGTACATGTGGTACACAGAGAACTTTGATAAAATTAGGACTGTTTTCTCAAAAATGTAAATCTAGGAACTCTGGAGCATTCTCTCCAAACTCTTTTCGATCAAAAGGGGTTAAAAAACGAAGCACGTATTGAAATTGAAAAGACTCTAGGAAAAAATCACCAAGACTTCAGATCGAGTTGCTTTCTAAATTCTAGTTCATTATAACTATAAGAAATTGACAGCCCTGCAGAAGATGTTCTAGCAATTGGCATTTACGTAGAGCAACCCCTTTCAGTCAAGTAATTTAAACTCACAGCCCTCCAAAATCGGTATGATTTATACATGGAATTACATAAATCTTTAACCCACAACACGATGTTTTAAATATCCCGAATATAGCCAATATATCGGACAATATATCCTATAAATATCCCCGATATAGCCGTATATCGGACAATATATCCTTTAATAAGGTTAGCAACAAAAGCGATATGGTCTCAATATCCTTTATCACTTTTTGGCAATTTTTGGCAATTTTTGGCAATATAGCCCCGACATGTCAGCCAATATGCTGGCCGATATGTATGTGACTTGTTGTAGAACAATATAGTTCTGCAAAATTACTTTGATTTTTTAACAAAAATTCTGAAGTTCTTTAGCAATATTTTAGTAGGCTCTTTTCCCTGAATAAGTTTTTAAAATTGGTTAGTGATCCTAAACATATATTATTTATATTACTGTATGCTTAGATTCATTATGTATATGCTAACATTACATTTTATGATATTATATTATATATGCACATCATACGATATGTCACTCCGATATTTACTACATATGCCGAAATTTCTCCAACATCCGCAATCCGATATGAATTTGGTTGTCCGATATTTCCCCGATATCCAATATTTAAAACATTGCCCCAACATAAGACAAAGACTAAAGGGACTCATATTCTGATAAACTAGGTTAGTGTTACCAAACAAAGTAGAGGATTCAATAATAATAAGAGTTACTACATAGTATAAAAACTTCTTGAGGAATAAAATTTATACCACCAAAATAGTCATATTTCTTCAATTGAAGCTCGCCATCCTCTGTATTTACAGACCCAGAAACTTCAGCCTACCATATGAAAGACCATCACCACAGACCCACCAAAGGATAGCAGCAAACAATTAGGAAAATAACCAAAGAAAAAAAATCATAAGAACAAACATAAGAATTACCACAAAAGATGCCGCAAACAGGAAAAATAAAAGTAACTACACCACAAGCAGATGTCACTCAGGTTATTTATAAAAATAATGCAGAAGTAAAGAAAACTGACTGCCTAATTCTTCAGGTAGGCTAGAAATCAGATGTCAGAATAAGAGTCATGCTCTAAATAAAAAAGCATTAGCATTCATTTCCATATTGTAAAGCAACAAAGCAAAAGGAATCAAAAAATACAGAACATGAAACCCAGCCTACTTGTTTCAAGAAATTACATACTTTCATGTAAGGATGGAAGTTGCTTTGGCATACTACTTACGACTTCACACATCAAATCCAGGATAAACCACAAATTTTCAAAAAAAAATATATATGGCTATAACTATACTGATCCTTGTCCTGGTCCCAAATGTAGACTTCGAAGCATCAGTAAGGAGAAACATAGAGATCTAAATCTGAATTGTAATGCACATGCAGCTCAAGCTTCCCAAACAAGTAACTTGATTGGGAATATAGCTTATTTTAGCCGCACCATATGTTGTAAGCATAAAACATTACAACAAGTTACTTGATTAATGATGATAAACAAAAAGAAAGTACACAAATCTGATTAAGCATAAAACATCATAGCCCAAAATGCAATGAGTGAGAAGCAGTTAGATAACTTAGGGATGAGTTGTTGACAAGGTTTAGGACCTATAGGCAAAGAGAAATTTATTTTTGGTCTCAGGCTTTCAGCTAATAAGATGGATGAACCAGGAAGCACAAATAAACCCACAAATCCACCTAAGACTTCTTAAAAAAAAGAAAAATTATTTTTTGTAAGATGATTACATCTTCCAAAACAAAGAAGCAGAAATGGTGTATATTCTTTTAGAATCTGCTCATGCTTTTCAACTCTCCAATAACAAGCCAGGCAAATCCTCTGAATACAGAATATCCATACTCAAAATATTCTCTCTCTATTGCATCCTCACATTATTGTCACAGAAAAAAATAAAATAAAAGTGGATACTCTACAAGATAACACAATTTACTGAAATAATGGAACATTTTAAAATCTACTTTAACATTATATACAATACTAGCAGTCAGTATTCATACCTTGCCCTCCAAAATAAAGTACATTCCCTCCCCAAACTCCCCCTCGCGTACAACATATTCACCAGTATCTAGACAAAAACAAGCCCAGAGAGAAGAAATTCAGAAGGCAGGAGGATATTAGGACCAAAAATTAAGTTAATAAAATATATAAATATACATATCATACTGCCAGAAATAGACCCCATCAAATAGAAGTGATGTTCTGTGACAAAAATCATATATACTTGCTACAGGCTGTGAACCAACCAAAAAAAAAAAAAAAAAAATTTTTATATACTTGCTACAGGCTGTGAACCAACCAAAAAAAAAAAAAAAAAATTTGTCTCACCATCCCATCGCAAACCACCGGCTATTGGACTGTAGAAAAGAAGACAATCACAATTATCATGCTCTAGTGTAAGAAAAACTGAGGTCATCGTTGCAGATTAATAAAACCAGAGTTTCCGCCAGAATCAGAGTATTTTGTTTGTAAACATTGCTTGCTAAACTGCTAGAGTAACCAGATTTTCCAAGAGTTGACCAAAATTTCGATTTGTTTAACAACAGACTTTTGGTTATCCGTATATATTTTTTAAATTATAGACCAGAAGTTTTAACAAGATTTGTTTTTAAACCCACTCGCATCCAATTCAATTACTTCCCCAAAATACCTAAACTGAATTATTTTCAAAACCGGAATTAATGTTTCATTTGCTGTACTGATGTCTTAGTTGTGGCAATTGGTATATAAGAACTAAGTTGCCATAGTTGGTTTATAGGTAGCTATGTTTGGGTTCAACATGTTATAGTTGGGTTTAAAAATATTTCAGTATGGGTAATAAAATTAAGTCAAAGTAGAAGTTTGGGATTGTAAACAAAACCCTTCACAAAAATGCCAAATATCTTTACAACCATTAAACTCTTTAAACAAAAATAAAAAAAAATTACAACCATTATAATGATATTTCCAGATCTTTGCTTCTACTCAAACGTCATCAATAAAACATTGCAAATTTGAGATCGATTGAGAATCTCACCGTAACGCTCGACCTTGACGAGTTCGGAGATCTTTCGGAGAGAAGAACTGGGGAGCCTCTGCAGCAGTGGGACTTGCGCAAGGAACTCGATCACTGAAACGCATAAAGAATCAATTTTTTAGTGGATTTTGAGGGAGCGCGACGATTTTTATATTTTATTTTTTTAAGTTCTAGGGCTTTTCCCTCCCAAAGAAAAACAAAATACCACCTGCTTCACGATCCATGACTGAAGAGGAGATGAGATGGGGAAGAGAGAATCTACGGATGAATTCTCAGCGCAGTTGGAGCCAACATTAATTCAAGAAGCTGAGGAGGGCGACGCTGGTTGACTTTCAACTGCTCACGTGAACATTGCTGTGAAGTCGCACGTGTTATGTTTTAAAGGAGTCTTTGCCTTCAAACTCAAATAGTTTTTTCTTTCTAAGTCCAAAACACCAACTACACTCTATTTTTTATACAACTAGGTGAAATGCACGTGCACTGCACGTGGTCAAATATCAAAATTATTTATTTTAAGTTTATTTATTTACTATAACATGTTTGCAAAAAAAGTTTATGATTATCATAAAATATTAAAGAATTCTGAATATTTCCATGTATAATATCTTGTTGGTTTTAACATTTTGCCTTCCACAGAAAAATTAAAATATTAATGACTTAAGAGCAATTTAATGATTTGAAGATCGAATTTCAAAATATTAATGATGTAAGGGACCAATATAAAAAATATTATTATTAATGATAAAAATAAATTATTGAATTCATCAAAGTAAAATGGTAGGTTTTATCTGGTCATATAGAATTTTGTTTAACTATAAAGAAATCACTTTCACATGTTGTTTACTTTCACTTGTTGTTTATCTGGCGATCAAGTATTATAAATATTCAAAAAAAATTCTATAATTTTCTTCGTCAGAATGTGCAAATTCAATCAAAAAAGAAAACATAAATTATATGATCAATTTTAAAATCCGATATGTAGTCTTTCTACATCTTCCCAACTAATTAATCGATTTGTCAAAACGATTACTCTCTAGTTTCAGAAAATTATAAAATATAATATGAGAATGATTTATACATATTATGCACTATGAATAGTATTTTAACAAATAATTCAGATCTATCCAATGTCAAACAACATTAAAAAATTTAGGTTGAGAGTTATAAGAATCCATTATCTGCAACAATACTCATACCCAAGCTACGTGCTTCATAAACTTATAAGAAGGTGAGAACTATTAAAATGAACAATTTAATTTATTTTGTCAAATGATTCATTACAAATCATGAAAGACAAGGTGAATCAGAAGGATCACATACCCTTCACAAATAAAGATTAAATTTCTCTTAGATATTCTTGTAGCAAAAGATTTTCAGAGTTGATGTATAGGATAAATTTTAGGATACATAACCCAAATCAGTTCATAGAGTGATATACTACATCCCTTTGAAGATATCGACAAAATCGAGTCATTTTAATTTGATTATGGGCTAGGGTTTGGGTCATGTTTGGGAACCAAAAGCAAAACCTACGAAAGCCACAAAAGTCACAATTCGTCTCCCAAATCTCTCCGCTCTCAGCTCTCCCACATTTTAAGCATATATTTTCATGCAAATTCTTATATTTAAAATTTATTAATATATTAGATTATAGCTTACAATGCTATATTATGTATGAATATTATCTCATATGACATCCGATATTTTTTACATATCCCTTGTTTCTGTAATATGATATCCTATATTTTAGTTATCCAATATTTATCTGATGTCCAACACTTTGTAGTAGTCATTCGAAAGCCTCTTCTAAAGTTTTCTAAGCAATGTATATAATTTCTGAAAATAATTCAAAATCTCGGGATTATTTAAAATATGATGCTTTAATTTTTCCACACTTCCTCTACTACATAAATATAAGCTAAGCCTCTGGCATCATATTATATGATGAATATTATTTATCAATAGGATCGCATGCAATTATTTGTGATTAACAAAGGTTTTAAATCTTTTTAGACTTCATTGAACTTAAATACCTTATAGTTTATGAAAGTTATATACCTCCACTTGTATCTTGTTGCACTTAAATTAATATCCTAATATTTTCTAAAATTACATGTTTGTACCTTCTATCTTGTTTCCTAGACGCAAGAATACTCTTTATAATTTTCCTATATGAGTGTCATGGTATAATTCTAGGATAATTCTATGTTTTCTATTCTTTAATTTCATAAATAATTTATTAACATGTAATTATCTATTAATATATTATTATACATTAGTGATAATTAATATGATGTAGAGTTTTATAGTAGTATTGAAAGGTTTAGGGACCAAGTTAGACAAACTTGTAATTAATTTATAGTACGAAAGTTATACACCTCCACTTGTATCTTGCTGCACTTAAATATCCTAATATTTTTTAAAATTACATGTTTGTACCTTCTTTCATGTTACCTAAACGCAATGATACTTTTTGTAATTTTCCTATATGAATGTCATGTTACAATTTTAGAACAATTCTATGTTTTCTACTCTTTCCATAAATAATTTATTAACATGCAACATGTTACAATTTTAGAACAATTCTATGTTTTCTACTCTTTCCATAAATAATTTATTAACATGCAATTTGTGTATTAATATATTATTATACATTAGTAATAATTAATATGATGTAGAATTTTACAATAACATTGGAAGTTTTAGGAACCAAGTTAGACAAACTCGAAGTGGCATATAATATAATTAATTAACAATAATAATTAACTTAGTTTAGTTAGGATTAGAATATAATATCAAAAATGAATAGGGGTAATATAGTCCATAGAAAGTTTTTATATTTTTCCTATATGAGTGTCAGGGTATAATTTTAGAACAATTCTATATTTTTTATTCTTTCCATAAATAATTTATTAACATGCAATTTTCATATTAATATATTATTGTACATTAGTAATAATTAATATGATGTAGAGTTTACAATAACATTGAAAGTTTTAGGGACTAAGTTAGACAAACTTGAAGTGACATATAATATAATTAATTAATAATAATAATTAATTTAGTTTAGTTAGGATTAGAATGTAATATCAAAAAAGAATAGGGGTAATATAGTCCATAGAAAGTTTTTCCACAACTCCCTCTTTTAAAAGGAGTATGATATGATATGATATGATATGATATATACACAAAAAAAAAGAAATACGTTCTCACTCCTCCTCCACGCTTTCTATTGTCCTTTCTCCCTCTTCTCCAGCACTCACCCCTCTTCCTCTCTCAACACCTACCCTCTTCCACCTCTTCTTCATCAACTTGCAAGTTTCATTACCTTATTGCTTTACTTCACATACATTGTCGTTATATTTATATAGTTTGTTGCTATGTTTTCATAAATGGAGAAGGCGAAGGAGGCGGCGAAAGAGCATGAAGAGAAAAGAGGAGACGATGAGAGGAGGTAGAGGTAGGAGGAGAGGGAGGAGACAGTGGTGATGGATAGATAGATAGTGGTGGTGGGCCTTGGAGAACTGAGGGTAGAGGGTGTTTGTTGGAAATTTGATGTAAAAAGACAATGAAAGAAAAATTCGAACTTGTATTTCTCTCAAACT